GGTGGTTGTGAACGATATTTGTCGCATTATAGATGAAAAACACGCTGCTCTTTTTCCAAAAAAAAAACTACAGTGATTTCGGTACCAATCGAGATTTGACGCGTCTGGGGCCAAAAACATTCTTCAAAATTTACTTTAGTGATCTTTTTGATATGCCAATATCATCAGCAGAGTTTTTTTATTGTTAATCGACGGTTTGCAAGTACCAATTCCTTGATTTGATTGTGTAAATAACGTTAATTGGTTAAGTGGAAGAGCAGGTAAGGATTTTTTCACACCTGAACTTCGCCATTTGGACACTATCATGTTTTTTTGTTTTCTTCTTTGTTTCTTCTTGTTATATTGATATCTTGTGTCCAATAAAGTCCTATTATTATTTTATTGACGTGTTGCTCATCAGTTGATGTGGATGGTCGCCCGGGACGCTCTTCGTCCTCAACTCCTTGTTTGCCTTCATTGAACATTTTGTACCAATCAAATGTTGTTTTTGATAGAGCTTGATCCCCGTAAGCCTTCTGCAACGTTCTCAACGTTTTCGCAGCGGTTATTCCATTCACTGTATTATATACCGAGCCCTGTGGCTTGGGAGGTTATTCATTTTGATTATTTTCAGGTTTGGATGCGAGAATTGAGCTCACTTCTTGGCGTCAAGGTCTAACTAGCAATTTCGTGTACAAGGAGATATGAGAAACTGCATTTGCCGAGAAGTACGGCTATCTACCAAGGCATCACATCGGATTTGCAGATCATCAGGTTGTGACTTCTGATGACGCCTAGGTTGTCCGGAGAGTAGTGGTAGCTACTTAGATGTTCTTCCAGCAAATTGAATTTTTGAAATAAACATCAACCTCCAGGAGAGTGAAAAAGTAACATCTGATCCCAGAAACTCACCAATTGGCATACGGTCATTAGATCTCGGAAGAAATATTAAATACCCGGCAATCGCGAACGAACTAGTCTGCGACCGCAGGGTGATAAGAGAGATCATCGAGATTTAACACTCCTGCCATGATTGGTCCGAAGAGATAGTCGAATGCAAACGACGGGCTGAAAAAAAAGGACATTGATTTAAACTTAGAGAGGGGGAAATACTGTCCGTCACCTGGAATCAACTTGTCAAAACCCAGCCAAACAAATTACCTACCCAACTCGGAATGTATGACAGCTATAGGTTTCGCGAATCTGCCGAGAGGTAAAGGCAGGGAATATTCATCGAGGGACATTTCAATGTTGAATTTGTCACAGCGAGAAAGAAACAACTTATCATGTCCTGGGCTTGTCATCTTGTTTTGAAGATAGCCGGAATACAGTTCACAAAGAAGAGAAAGCCATCTGAGCTTGTAGGTATCCCGAAAAAATACAAGGTCACTTTTGGAATATTAAAAATATGAAATTATCGGGATCTGGTTTGGAGCAAGAGGGAGAATTTATTTTTGAAGGGGGGCAAATTTCTTCAACCGTTAATTTTAAGGATAAGTCTTATTTTTATTGTTTCTTGTCAATTTATTAAAGATGATGTGTCCTTAGCATGGTATATAAATTAATTAGGTTAATATCTGATTGGGAAATCTTGGAAGTGGTATCAGGTTCCATTCCTAAGCCCCGTTTTTGTGACAAGAAAATCGGTCCGAAAATCTCCCGTGCCATTTTTCTAGCGGAACAATGAATTAATGTTGCATATCGTTCGATTGGGTAACTATTAATTATTAGTTACACTGTACATAATATAGATACATGCATCTTACTAAATTATTAAACTCGTGGAAATATTGGAAAACCTCATGGGTCCCAAGCGTACCTAAAAGCTTAGTATGCGATGTCGTATCGTATCTCTCGAAGTTTCCAAGACGCTTACTCTGAGCATCTTATGGGAAACTTGGTACATTATTTCCGATGTCATTACGATTACGTAACCACCTATTAGTGAATTATTAAAATCTATATTAGCGCGTAATTCTCATTAAATTACCCATTCCTATCAAACATCCAAGCATTTTCTTTTGTATAAATTGAAACGTAATCCCTCAATAAATATAGAAGAGTTTCCTTCTGAAATGAGTTCAATAAAAGCAATTTTTACCTAAAGCAGTCCATTAGATACCATTTCCTATACAGCGGAAATTAATTGCTACTTAAATTACACATTTCAAACCGCCACATTTGGCCTCGATTTGGGCTTTATTTATTAGCGTTAGATTGTAACTTATGAAGCGTCTAATTCGATTATAATCATTTGTGGGATGTTTGGACAACTAAATAAATGTTATTCTTTAATTGTTTTCACTCTGGTTTACGGTCAATAATTAATGGCGATTTATTCACGAGAAACGGTCCGCTCTAATTAGTACGATTTTCGTCGCGTTTCATTAACTTCATGTTTTATGTTTATTTATGGGATGTGGAAGGGGAAGTCGTTAAAATAGATGTAGCGTAATAAAACGGGATAAAGAGCATGATCGGATAAAATCCGTGAGAAGACAATTGGCAGACATTTTCGATGCGATAAATTTCCTGTGAAATGCAAAGGTCATGGCAGGTCCAGGGTGCCATTTTCAAAAATCCAGTAGTCGTGATGAAATCCCACAAGCGTTGAACGGAACGGAAACTGGCCTTGTAATGTCCGAAAGTCGCCTTGGAGATGGTTAACCCCTGGTTTATCTAATCTAGCCTGAACCGAACACTGTACTGTCAAACGAAAACAACAAAATGCTCGTTTCTTTGATTAATCCAATGGCATTTGTCATAAACTGCTTGATGTGGTTTAGGGGAAGAAATATGAGCTGTTAATCCTTTTGAATGAATGCGCGAATATGTGCTCAATCTATGATCTAAATAAAACAACGTCATTAATGCAAATACCAATGCCACCCACAAAACAGCTGTCAAGCTAGCTCAAATCAAAACAATCTTTAAATTTAGAATTGTAATTGAAAAAATCTCGATGTTGACTTTAAATGAACAACTTGGGAGACTCAGTAGCCACGATTAACTTAACACCTGGCATAATTCATCAACAAGAATAGAATCTGACATGAAAACTATATCTGAGTCTCACTTTGGGTTCGATTAGGCACAGTTTAAATGACAAAGGCACAAATTTATTCCGCAAAACATGAAGAACAAAACTAACCAAGACGCTGGAAGAAAGAGGGATTTTTAGCGCCTGTTTTTACACATACTCTGCGTGCAAGCGTTCGACAGACAATTAAATAAAGAAATCTTAATTACTTAAAGTTATTAAATAATCTAATCAATCAAGCGGTAACAAATTTGCGATATTCAGGCACACTAAAACTGTCACACAAAGAGAACCCTATAAAAAAGGATTATTAAGATTACTTCTTCTGCATACTTTATTACAATACTGGCAAATTACGTTTTCATATAAACAGACTGCGTAAAGGAGTGTACCCGCTCTGAAACCGTCGCGTCGCACTAAAAGCAAAAGAAAAACTCTTCTAGTCCTCTCCCGCATTTAAGGCAACACCACTTCCACCATAGAGAACTCCTTCATAAATTTTCCAATGAATCGCCAATTACGATTAGATTCGATATACGCCAGCGAGGACGGAACGCGCCAAATGTCTCCCCTTCTCCAAATGAAATGCGTAATTCTTCGTAACCTCTGCATTCTCATATCAGCGAAAGAACCCCTGGGTTAATTAAATTTCGCCTAGCAATAAAACTCCTTATCGCAACAACCAAATAAAACCTTTTGTAAAACACGCAAATTTGACCAGATGTGTCTTACTTTTAACACCTTATCTAAATAGAACAATTTACAACACCGAGAAAATAAAAACGAAAAAATTACACATCTACACACATTTCTAAAAGGAAATAACAAATACTGAAACACAAATTCAACTAAAATAAACCAACTTTGTGTTGATTCGTAAATAAACCACTAGATTTTTTCTTAAACATTGAAATATACCACATAAAGGGTGTCTCATTCTTACTACCGGCCAGAATAACTTCTGTAAGACGTAGATGGGCGTCGACTTACCCTCCCCTTGTTACAATGTGGCATTTACTTTCATGTGTTAATTTCTCGGAGTAGTTTCCTTTTCGCTTTGGAGGTGAGTATTTTTGTTTTTTTTTGCAAATATTTCTAAGGGGACCGAAATTCCAGGAACGGAGATTTCGGAAGCGTATTGTAAGCGCCGGTGCCATAAGTGGGGCATGGAAGTTTGAAACTTTTGGTTGCGAATCTTCCGGAGCGAATTTTATGGGCGAATTCGTCAACCTAGCCAAGCATCCATCTATTGTCCGTCCAAACCTCCAGGTGCAGTAAGAGCTTTACACGAATTTAGTGTAAGAAGTATGCCAAATTTACCCATCAGCAACAATAATTGAATAATTTGACAGTAGAAGGTTATACCTGATATACATTTTGGCAACATGATGCACTAGGGGGCTTGGATGGGGTATAGTATGTTGCACTAATTGCATTTGTACTTAAAGGATGTTTTGAAAAAAAAATCGATTATTGTATGTTCTGGAGTCGTTAAACTAAATTTCATCGCATGTGTTTTCTTTTCTTTTCACAATTAATTTAAAAATGTTTGTTAATAAAATGTAAATGAATTAGTTAAGTTGAGGTTGCAGGATTTGGATAAGACACTTACGATGAAACATCATGTTCCATATACTTGTTACCCGTTCCAATAAAATCTTCTTCTCTCTATAGCACCTGATTTACCATAGGTGAAATGGAAACAGTATTCAACTTTTAAAGCCCTTTTTAGAGGGTGTATTAGAAATCACTATTGAAATAGAAATGGTGGGAGAGCTCAGAATGGTTGAAAAGTACGGCGTAATTATGCATAATTATACCATTTAAAATAATATGCTCCAAATAAGTGTACCCATAAATCCCCCCACTTGTTCAGAATATATTTGTAGAGCTGTGCAAGTAAAACTGAAGGTAAGTACCTAAAAACGTAATTGGAAAAGTGTCTTCCGATAGAGTAAAGAAAAGGGTGAAAAATCCTCACCTGGAATTATCCTGATTATTATTGGATATCTTGTGATTGCTCGTCGCCTGTAACAAAAACACCTGTTAGTATTAGATTTTGTGAGTATTTTCGACATTTACAAATTAGTCGAATCATAAACGAAAAGTTCGTGTTTCCGAAGAGCTCTTCAGAAACCTATTGAGTGCCGACAAGTACAATAAACTCTGTTAGCTCACCTGCAGCTTCCAACAGAAGTGGATTCTTTATTATATTGCATTACGAAAAAGGCAGTTAGGTACAATCCTAAAGTGTTTACTCAGTTTTGTTTTATCGGCCTAGTAAAAACACATTTTTGTTTATATCAGAGTAAGATCGAAAGGCTCTGCTTATTTTATTTCAATTAAAGATAATTGGATCGCCTGAGGAATATTCAAATTAAATAAATTTATCTCTGCTAGTGCTTCGGCTAAGTATAACAATGTTCTTAAACGAGGATTGTTTCATTCAAATACGTTCGGCCATTATCAAGGCAACGAAATTCGTTTGAAGGATATTTATGCACTAATGAGCTACTATCAAACATCATCAAGTCTACAAAATCATTTATAACCCATCCAAAAATACTCGGTGGGTAGTTATTAAGTAAGCGAACTTTCTTAGACATTAAGCATCGCGCTAGAAATACAACAAAGACCTAGGCCAAGGAACCTTCGTCAACTTGACCTCCCGACGATCATTCCGTCGTTCCGAAGGGTTTAAACTTCGCTGTCGCTCCCTAATTCAGGTTTCCAAGGAAAACATCGTAACTGCTGTTGAATTATTTATCCACACTCTACCCAGAGAGATTGCCGACCCCATTCGTCTAGAAAACGCCAAGATGTTGAATTCCTTAAATCTAACATCAGCAGATTGGAGTATGTTGCTCTTCGGAATCTTCGCAAGAATTCCAATTTGGCCATCGTCTTTGTAGAGAAAGGCAACGCCACAGTCATATTAGATGAGTCTCAGTATGCTGACATAGGTCCAAAATCTTCTTAAAGGGGATACCTACGTCGTCTTCCGTTCAAAATCGAACGAAGCGTTTCAGCTGTATCAGGTATTCTGCGCTCCCCAACGATGCCCAACGTCGCCTTATTCCTAGCGACTGCCGAGGTTGTACGGTCTTTCAGAACCATCAATTCACCCACCAACAAGCTTCCCAAGTATCTTGAAGGATTTCACAGCTCGCACGTCACCTCACAGTCTGAATTCCGGTCATTTTATTTAACGCATCTCCGATGTTCGCTTGGATCCCCAAGATCTTCTGGTCACGAACGAATTACAGCACGTCACCAACACATCAGGTTTTCAGAGGAAAATTAGTTTATGACATATTATGTGGGGCCATATAATTGCGGAAATACCGTTCCTAGAAATTTCAGATAGGTGTTATTTGACTACCATGAGGACGATAATGTTACTTTCCTTAAACGTTGTATTGCCGGCTGGACTATCGGTACCAAAATTAGCGCCACAGACACTTCATTCTCTCCATTTAAGCAAAAAACCACTTCCTCTAATAAACACAATATCGTTATTCCATCTACGCCGCCAGGACTGATAAAACACCTGCATTGATTATCTCGCAAGTGACATTGTTTGCCGAAAAACTATACTATATGGTCTAAGCGAAAAACTGATTAATTCTTTCCCGATAAAAACCTTTTGTCAAGACCTTACCAGATAAAACTTTAAACTCACGCCAAAAAATTTCGATTAAATGTTAATGGTTTTAAATTTACCATAGAAATTAAATACAACAAATAGAATTAAATTAATTAAACAATTACCTACTAAACAAGAACAAGAAAGTAACATTAAAATGTCTTATGAATTAAAATGAATTATATTACATACAGGATGTCCTAACCGAGATTACGCGTTGCATTGCATTGCGCGTAAGTTGAATAGATTTCCAGCTTTTTTTTGCTAACTAAGGTTTGCAAAATAAATTTTGAGGTTGCTTACTTCATTTGCTTTTTTTTATGACAATAACGTAATGTAATTCAGTCAGTGGGTATATTAAACCGTTTTTAGTGTATTTCAAACTACTCGTTTCTAATAATTTTGTTTGCAAAAGCGTAGAATGCCAGGCATTTGTAACGTAACCCCTGACAAGACTGATAACTGACTTCCTCATAATACAGACCATTAGCGATATTACTAATCAAGGCATAGGCCAGCAACTAAAAGCAATTAAAACGGAAGTTTGCAATCCACGTAGAGATATTTATTGTAAGACGTAAGCTGGTACAGAGGTTAAAATGGCATGGGACGTAGTGATCTGTCTTCAATAAATGTTTTGCTAGGACTTCCTTCGAAAATGATACGTTTTATCCATGTAAGTCGGATTGAAAATTGTGCCGCTGCGCGTCGTACCATTAAATTCGTTACGCGTGCTTCAAAGACTTTATTAATGATTATGCACTTGTTTGTAGCGCATTTTTGCAAATTTATTTGTAAAAAAGGTAGCTTTTAATCTCACTTTGGCTGGTTGGCTGGCTGGCAGTAAATGCGAGCCCGTAGAAGAATGCTTGTAAAAAGACGAGGAGTGTACATATACCTATCGGAGCCGTGTAGTTAACAACTTTAGGGACGGGGCTACAAGATGTGGGGTTGGCGACATCTGAGTGCCATCCCCGAGCGTGTTATACTAACATGGAGTTTTTTTCTATCTTCTTCTACAGTAACGGGACGTCGGAGGTGAGTACCGACAAATTATAATTCACGAAACTTGTGTGTCGTCTAATTGCCTTAAAATCAATGCATCTCTCAGTATTCATTACTGTATTTACCTAAAGACGTGGTCTTTGTCAAGTTATGTATCAAACAATCGTTAATTATCATTAATTAAATTTATACCGCCCGAAATTATGCGATTGACGAACGTCAATTATTTGTAATCGGAGTTTGCTCAAATATGCGACCGGCTAAGGTATCTTATATGAAATTTAGCAGAAAGGATTAAGTATTTTCTTTTGTTTACCTTAGTGTACTTAACGTATATTTTAATTTCATCGTTTGGTCAAGTATTACAGAGAAATTTGTGCTGGTTTAGTTGAAAAAGGTTTACTGCAGGTGTCAGTGAGGTCAGAATTGAGCTTAAATTTTGGTTCTGTAAACCGCAGGCTATTTCAAACCCCGAAACCAGTTCGCGTTTCAGTGCCAAATCGGTCCGAAAGTTAAGGTCTCAGTCGGCGAAAAAGAAGTGTATATACCCCACCAGAACCGCCCTCGCACTTACCTCAAAACATGAAATGGCATACAAAGCCAATAAGATTTGGCCCAAAAGATGGAGGGGGGGGGGGGTCGGCGGGGAGCCTCGACACGGTGGTAGAAATCAATACTTTTGGAATTTAGTGGCAGTTTGACTACAGATTGGTCAGATTATTTTGTTGAGCTACGAAAAATTGGTTCTTACCTACCAATGCATTCCCTGAATCACGATTTTGAATCATACCTTTGGGCATAAACTATAAATTATTGTATTACAGCGTTAAAACACAGATGATCCATTTCGGTACGTTGTAACAAAAATAGTGTAGGCATGACACCTACGCGCATACGTTATGTTAAAAATAAAACATAAATAAATGCGCGAATTGAGTAGGTAGGTCAAACATTCGACGTATTTTACAGCCATTCAGGAAAACCTTAACCTAGAGAATATAATAGGTAGGTAGGTACTACGTGGTCTGGACAGAGCAATATTGTTATTTGTATAACACGGAAACGTACATAATAAGCGACACGCACAGAAGTCTGTGTTGAGATATATGAACATGTTCTATTTTTAATATCAGCATGTGTTCCTGGCGGAATAATTCAAAATTAGAACATTTTGATATACAGGCTGTTGTGATCTTCGCATTAGGGGGACCAAACAAATTTTCAGGTGTTAGGTACCATTCACAGTATTTAAGAAACGTGTATAATGGTGATTGTTTATACAGACGCTTTTGTTTATCCAATACAGTAATAGCGTTCGTAAAATTGTAAGCTTTAAGTAAATCTTTCTGATGTATCTTACACGTACTTGTTTTTAATATCGTTAGTTCTCTTTTATACGCTCTTGAAGGCTCAAAATAAACACAACGTGTTTAATTTAGCATTTGTAAACGTAAACTATTTTAGTGATTTATTTTCTATGTCAACTTCGCCCAAAGCCGTTTTACAATATACCATACCATTGAATAAATTTAATTTTTTATTCAATGACCATACGCAAAGGTTTAATGATTACATTGCTTACGTTGTTTTTCCATTTAGAAGGAATTTTCATCAGTGAAGGCTGTTAAAGTATATTTTAAAAATCAATCCTATAAGTTCACATTAATTTCGGCCATAATGAACTAATACCAGGGGTTACTTCCAAAGATAAAAGTGATAAAATGCTGAATTAAATATCCGGTATCCCTGGAGTAGAAATGTCATGACGCACTTAGATAACTCTCTTGAATAATTTAAGATGTACTATATTATTTACACCCCAGCTATCAATAACCATTTTGTAAGTAACGTTTAGGTAGAATAATAAATAATCCAACGAAAATAAAATTTGATTGAGCGTATTCTCCGACGTTTTGTTTTATTTCTGTGGTTGATTTGCATACCAAACAGGCTTTCGTTATGTATGTAGGTAATAATTTCTTTTTAAATGTGTTCCCATTCGCCGAATTGCCATTTTATTTGATAATTTAATATTACTCCACTGAGTTAGAGCAGATATATCAACGTGTTATAGCTATCATTATCCATGTATGTATGAGTACGTCTATACGTGAATGAACCATTTAAGGTGATTTTCAGACATAATTTGACTATATAAATTTTATTTATTTATTCGAGAATTAAATACCAGGGGTTACGTGTCTTTTGTGCTTGAAGGGGTGTGCACTTCATTCAAAGTGTATATGTGTTTCATTTCCTTCAGAATGGACTATTAAAACAGCGTGGACAAGAAGAGATTTAGGTATGATAGTGCGAAATTTCAGTACGATGGATTGCGATTCCCGTGCGAGTCCTTGGCCTTCCAAGAAAAACCCAG